AAGATGTCATTTTTAGGAGAATTTTTGGTAAAAGAATAGTATAAGAGTGATTTAGAGAGTGGTTTGGACGAATTATGGTCGGGTGCTTTAAATAGAGAATCTTTCCAACGGATATCCGTTGGAAATCCGTTGAAAAGTTCGTTACCGTTACACTTTCCAACGGATATCCGTTGGAATATTTCGAACGTTATAACGTTCGACTATTTCCAACGGATATCCATCGGAATTATTACCGCGTTTCATAACGTTCGAATAATTTCAACGGATTGCCGTTGAAATTCGTCAAACGTTATTTCCAACGAAAATCCGTTGGAATATACGTGGAAAATTTCCAACTCAAATATCCGTTGATATGCCGTTGGAAATCCGTTAGAAATGCGTTGGAATTATTCCAACGGTATACCGTTGGAAATCCGTTGGAAAAATCCGTTGGAATTTCGCAGTTTTTTTGTAGTGTAAATTACTATTCTACCCTCAATATGATTACAAATCAGCTTAAATAAATCATGTTCATAATATCATTAGAATTTAATAATTGATCCATTGATTAGAAACTTTATCTTGGTGCGGAAACTATGTTGGTATATGGATCCTTGTCATTTAAATATTTTATCCGAAATATATATATATATAGTCAGTAATTATTTGTATTAAAGAAATACATAGTAAAAGAAACAAGATCTCAACTCTCGAGGGAAGAAATCATGTCGAATTCGAACACAATGTCTTATGGGAAGATATGATGTTTGGGTCGCTTTCCTTTATTTACCCACACAACAAAATCAGTTTTTTAGAATTAAATGATTATTTATTTTTCGTTTTTTTATTTATTTATCGGCCATAAATGCGAAAACGTCAAAACCCCTAATTTCCATCAAATAAAGATGTCAGTACACTAAAAACGTTTTTAAAATCTGTCGTTTCGAGTTTTGCGTCTACATACAATACAATGAAATATAATTTATAATTTATAAATCATTAAATTACAAAATTTTCAAAATGAAACCCCAATAACATATTCATAAGGATTGCATATATATCGTGCATATATCGAACACCCCCGATATTCTGGATTCTCTATTAGTACATGTTTTGTTATGTTGAAACGTGGATTCTGTTTTGTCTAAAACTATATATTTATTATTCCATTTGACCTTTTTTTTTTTCCATTTCCAGGTGGATTGGGTTGTCTCCGTCGCCTGAATGTGTATACATGTTACGACAGTAGTGAAGGATTTTGAGCAGGTTGCCGACCGTAACTATGATCACAAAGGCAAGTAGGGCGGCTTTGTAACCTTCGTCCAGAGGGGACGATATGGCGGTGATTTTGGAGAATCCGGAAAAAGGGATGGTTTACCCAGGCTGCCGATGGGGGTTGGGAGACTGGTGGTGGTGGACAAAAGAACGAAAGGGGAGATAGCGGTGATGGGGGTTAGGAAAGTCATGTCGGTGGGCAGAAGAACGAAAGGGATGAAGGGTGAAATGTCTGTAAGAGAGTGAATGGGAAGAAGGCCGAAATGTTGAGGAAGGAACGAAATGTGCGAATGGGAAGATGGTCGAAATGTCGAGACGAGACGAGACGAGACTTGATTTTGAAATCTATGATTACCATCGAATAAAATCTGCACCTTCGAATTTTGCATCTACATACAATGGAATATAATTTATAATTTATAAATCATCAAATTATAAATTTTTTAAAATGAAACCCTAATAGCATATTAATAAGGATTGTATATCGTACATATATCGTACACCTCCGGTATTCTGGATTCACTATTAGTATGTGTTTTGTTATGTTGAAGCGCAAATTCTCTTTTGTCTAAAACTATATATTTATTATCCCATTTATCATTTTTTTTTGTCGGTATTATATATATGAAACATATAATGATTTTGGCAATTAGGGTTTCATCCCCTGCACCTGTAGTATTTTGGGTGTCCCTTGCTGTACCTGTTCGACGGCATGGGCATAGCTCTTCCTCCTCCTTGTCCGCCATTGTCGTGCTTCAGAGCTCCATAAGTTATGTACTTAACGTTACTCGTCATGACCATTCTCTCACCCGTCACCTTCTCCGATGATGACGTCACGAAATCGTTCGTTTCTACCTCTTCTTCTCGTTTTAGGTTAACTTTGCGAACCATTTTTTCTCTCGATCCATCTTCTTCGTCGCTCTCGTAACGTTCGTCTGTCCACGTGGCTCTCACGTGATGGTTTCCAGATGATCGTTCTTCGTCTGCTTGTGCGTATCCTTGTGACAATGTGTAGTATTCCATGCTCATATATTGACCTATATATGTATGTATGTATGTATGTATGTGTATGTATGAAATATACTTGTGTGAATTTAGGGCATTATTTATAGAGGTCTTATATGTTGGTGGGTTAGTGGAGTTTTCCATTCAGAATTTATGAACTTATTCTCTAGTACACTATAAAAATAAAATCGAAACTTTTAATATGATTATAAATAAATTTCAATTTTCAACGGCCTAGATTTGATGATGTCGTTCTCTAGGCATATATTCGAAGAGTTGTCTTTTATAAAGTTTAAAATTCGAGAGAGAAAAAAAAATGTTTTTTTAGAACAAATAAATGGCGAAATTAGAACTATAATAATTATTGTTTAAGAAAAACAGTCGCCATGGGATTAAAGTTTAAAGTGTACAAAAAGTTTTAATTATACAAAGTTAACCTATCCATTGGCATTCATCTAATAGATGATGTTTTGATGTTAGTATTATTATTATAAAACAATTTAAATGGTTTTTGGTATGTTTTCATATGTTTTAGAAATCTATAATATCAAGATTAAAAATAGTATTTGAAGAAATTCGGATTGTTCTTTTCTTCTTTTTTTTTTTGGGTGAATCATAATTTTAGTATCTTATTCTTGAAAATAAAGTGATATATTCATTTACCAAAAATAAAATAAAATAAAGCGATGGTGGGCGAGTGGTCAAGCTTGGATAAGAGGTAACTCCACCTTGAGGTTGAGTGTTTGATTTCTGGCTGATGGGGAGAGAGGTAATTTCTGGATTTATATGATCCATATATAAAGGTTGCTCCCGGGCCGGAGGTTTACCTAGTCAGCGTGTCCGAACGCTAGCAAATACTCCGTTATAAAAAAAATAAAAATAAAAAAATAAAGTGATACATTAATTACTCTTTATTTATTCTCTGTTCGAATAAATTTTCTTCGGCAAAAAACCTTGGGCTTAATAATGGCTGATGCCTTACGCCAAACGATGGAATCGCTAAAAAACGGTCCCGACTACGACTGGTGTAACTATTATCATTAAATTACCGAAAACAATTACATTTTTGGAGATTTTAAATTTTTAGAATTTATCTTAGTATCTTAATTTTCAAAAATCAATATTTTAATATTTTAAAACGAAAAAATATTGTTCTGTTCCTTTATAAAATTCGACTGTTAAAATATGAAATATATAAAATTTCTGATAGAAAAATAAGAGATTAGAAGCTGAGAATATTAAAATACTGATAACAATGAGTACTCGTCCTTTACCAAAAAAAAAAAAAAAAATCAGCGGATTTTCATGGACTCAGGATTGACAGTGGGTACAAGGCTTATTTTAATTTGGACTTATTTATGGGCTGGGCTCTATTTATCGTCCCACAGTTAGTTTTAATTCATTTCTGTAACGGACTCTAAATCTATATAAATGTTTTATTTATAAATCTTTGGTATAGTTTCCTGAACATACATATACATATCTATGCGTGTGTATATCTATAAATTTATAATGTAAAAAAAGCCAAAATGAATCGAAAAAGTAATACGGTTTTCTTTGTAAAAGGGAAATATGGATATGGCTATTGATATATAAAACTATTATTATCAAAAGTATATTTACATGAGACAATCTTCCTAAATATGTGTGTATATATATATGTATGTAAAGATTCAAATAAATATGCATTAGAGGACTATACTTACCAAACAGGATTTTAATTTATTCTCAGCTAGATTCGCATACAGAGTGACAATAACATCCAAACAAAGTTTCGTTTCCTTACAACCTAAAGACTTTTAGAAGACATGCCTCTTTGTCTGAATCAACACTTCGATCCCAGTCGGAGTCAGGTGATCACTTGCCGTTATTACTTGGCCCTTATTCGACTATACAGAGGCAATGCAAACGCACCATGTATATATATACACACACACACACACTTCCTTCTTCGAGGAGGAGCCATTTTCAGATCCAGATGTCCGAGGTGCAGTCGCCGCCCGGATATCTCATCTCGTGGGCGAGCGAAGGGCCGTCGGGTTCCGCCCCGAAATCCACAAAGAAGTTCGGGTTTATGGCCATACCGCCTTTGTCTGTATCCACGTCTATCTGCACAATGTGCGAGCCTCTCTCCACGAGTTCCGGGTAAAACTGACGGTCCCATGCGCTGAAAAGCGAGTTCGTGGCATAGAGTCGCTTCCCATCTAGGCTCAGTTGAATCATCTGAGGCCCTCCTCGCAGGCGGTGTCCCTGAAAAACGCCGAAAAGTTGTAGCCTGTGATCTGAAAATCTCAGTTAATATTACATTCAGACATGTTTTGTAAGAACCTTGATCCCGGGGACGTCGAACTGGAAAGTTTTTCCGTCTTCTCCCACTGCTAAAACCGGGCTGCCCTTCTGGAGAAGTCCCCCGGCCCATACTTGCCCTGTCAATTGAGGGTTTCCGGGGTCCTCGATGCTGTACTGGCGAATGTCTCCGTGAAGCCAGTTGACAAAGTAGAGGAATCGGTCGTCCAGAGAGATTAGAAAGTCGGTGATGAGCCCTGGCATTTCCGGAAGAATCCAGTTTCGCACTTTCAGCGGTTCAACCGATATGACCACCTTTACCAATTGAATTCACACGGTATCAGATCGGACGAGGAAGAGAAAAGTGAAGGGTATCAGATCGAGGCGCACAATTAAGGAAGAACTAGAATCTCAATGCACCTCGTGGCTCCATGTTTCATCCTTGTTCTTGAAAAACCTAATCATATTACTCGACAAGGCACTCCCGACGAACCCTGTATCTTTAGACGGATCGTGCAAGAATCTAATCTGGCATCGCAAATGAATCCAAATAACCATAGTGTTTGTTACCTTGTATGCCATAAACCAAAACACGGATCTTATCGTTGAAGAATTAAGTTTACCTCCAAAGGTAAGAGACCGGTGTTGCCAAGGTCGAGTATCTGTTTGAGTTCCCCTTCCGGCCAACTATAAACATGCAGATGCCTTCCGTATAGCCCTTCGGACACGTGCTGAAGATCGAAACCTTTCGAAAAAGCTGCAGGTGCTCCCCAAGATGTGCTGATCATAGTCTTGTGCCGAGGTTGGTACCAGAAATCATAGCCGTACAAAGGACTGTTTCCCGGTTTCTCCCACCTACAAAGTCGAAAAACAAAAGCATACGGAATGAGTTTCTTGACCTGTAACGATCGCCTGAAGTGAATTAAACAACGATCTGAATGAACGGAAAGTAATGCGGTGTATCTTTTTCAGTACCTGCTTTTGACGTTGAATTCAGAGTCGAGGAGGAGAAACCCGTTTCCCTTGTGGTTTCCATCTTTATCGCCGAGACAGGACACCAAGATTTCTCCGGAAGCAAGGCAATGTGCTGTGTGTGGGAAGGCTAATCCCGTCTTTGCCACGATCTCCTCAGGTTCCACGACTTTATGCAGAGATGGAGCCCTCGGGTTCGCCTTTGTGTCAATTGCATAGATGCGACCCGATCTTTATCAACCAAATAAGCGTAAGAACAAACACGTTTTTGTCATCATCACCGTTACTGGAAGCAGATATCTTCGAATGAAATATATCACAATTTGGTCAGAAACTACACAAGGCATTCATACATAAGAGATGGCAAGACCAGGTAACGTCGGGCAGCCGAAGGATCACCGTGGCAGGAGCTGCACGAGTTCCAACCCGAGTGATGAAGTTCATCGCCGATATATGGCATCGGCAATCTGTGAATAACGCTGCAGAACGTCGGAGAGCTCGGATCCACATCGACTGTCGCCAAGTAGTCCGGCCTCTCACGCCCTGTTCCTGAAACCCAATTCAACAGATAGCTTAAACACAGATTCACATAAAATGGCAACAACAATATGATATGATAAATTATGAAACAGGACATTCTTGATCAATTGAACTCACAACATAGATTAACATTAAAAAACACAAGATTCGTTGATAGGTTTATGGGTTTAGTCAATCGATGCTTGATAAACAATGACTCGAAGGATCCATATGTTCGTCATGTCGGCTAATCAAATCATAGATCTGATTAGTACACGAAGCTCAATCTTAAAACTATTTCTCCAGTTTTTGATTCCTCAGGAATCTTACAAGATTCAGTAGGATCTACTAAGAACGGCAAGCAAAAGATTCTGTCATGAACAGCGAAATTAGAACGGATCCTCAAATCATTAGCAAAACTTAGAAGCGAATCAATGCCTCAATCACACCGCTTCCTCATTTTCCCTGTCAATTCTGACGAGACCTTCCGACAATCCATGTTTCAACAGCAAAATAGCCGACACGACAGAGCAAAAAAAGAAAGGGTTACCGGTGTATACGGCGGTGACGTAGATGAGCTTCTCTCGGGGACCGGACATGGCGGCGAGCGGCGTCGCGTAACCTGGCCCGCTCCGGCAGCATTCCGCGGCGGCTTTTCTCACCGCCGTCGAATTCTCCGCCATCGTAGCCACCTCCGTCGCCATCTCCCTCTCTCTCTCTAACAAACCTCGATTATGTTGCAATGGAGCAAGATATGCGTGACAGTCATTTGTGTACAGACACGTGTGAAAGAGTTGGACGGAAACGTGGAGATTTTATCTCTTTCTCTTGGCCGTGTCACATGAAAATGTGCCTTTAACACGTTACAATCATTCATGGGAGATAAGAGACACAAGCCAAATAGAATTTGGCATGAACAAAAATCAAGAAACGAAAAGCATATTGTTCAGTTTACAAAGTAATGGAAATACTAACCTTTGTCCAAAAAAAAAAAAAACCAAGAAAATTATAGTTATATTATATGAGATTTAAATTTACCTAGTTTTGTATTTTAATTTCAATTTAAATTTCATTTACATCTGTTTTACATTTAATTTTCTTAATTCTTATTATCACAACTTTACAGAATTTCATTACATTAATTTGGTGCAAAAAAGTATAATAAATTGTGTCCACATTCGATGTACATGATGGTCCATTTATTTTTGAATAATTGAAGTTTGCTATCTTGCCATGAAGGAATTTTAAATCCCACTGTTTTTTTTTTTAAATAAAATAAAAATGGCATCATCATACTCCATTTTTTTAGAAGTAATAGCATAATATTATTGCAATTAAATTAATTGACATTCTAGTTTTTTTTTTTATAATGGAAGAGCTCTAGCTGCTACCCTTCGTACGCGCTGACTAGGTAAACCTCTCGGATGAATCATATAAAGCCAGAAATTATCTCCCTCTCCACCAGTCAGGAATCGAACACTCAAACTCAATGTGGAGTTACCTCCTACCCCAAACTTGACCACTCGCCCACCATCTGTTGGGTAATTGACATTCTAGTTAGATTCATATGGCTTATCTTTTCATAACTCTATGCCTAGCTTTTAATTCTGAAACCATACAAAATTATATAATATATTTTTTATTAGTGCACAGTTTTTTTTTTTGTAGTGAAATTCGAATCCTATTACAGAACAGAATGAATGACAACCTGACGACATGTAACTTGAACAACAAGAAACCTAAATCCAAATACACTTCTTAAGAGCTTAAACTGTAGGTTTTTCTTGAGTTAAACAAAGAAAACAGCTTACACTTGATGTTCCAAAGCTTCCAGTCACCAGAAGTCATTGCAGGAGCATTTCCCATCCTTGAAATGGTGATATCTCGTGGCGTCACGGACAATGATCTCTCTTTTCGCAATGTAGCTGATATGTTTCAGAACAACATGGCAATCTCCACAAACCCTAAGATTCTTCACAACCCGGATCGCGGTTCCTGGAACAGCCTTCAGAATCCCGTAGGCCACAGCCGATCTCTCGCTGTGCCAAAACAGCGAGTTCTCTTTCTCGTGCTGATCCATGTCGTGCAGGATCAAGCTCGTATCGGGAACATACCCTTTTCTTCTCATCTCGTCCTCAAACTTCTTAAGCAATCCGAAAATCTCGTCTTTTAGAGGATGAGATGTTTCTCCTGCATAAAAAACTTCAGTCACTTTTCCAGCTTCGACACTGCTGAATCCCGGATCCTTTTTCACTTCCATATCTGAAAGTTTCCTTCTTGATTCCGACACCTTTTCCCACAGAGATGCACTGGCATAAACGTTAGACAAAAGTATATAAGTTGATGGGTCTTTAGGTTTGAAGTTCTGTAAAAGGTGATCGGCTATCCTCACAGCCATCTGAACTTGTCCATGGCGCTTACAAGCGCTAAGAAAAGCTGCCCATGTCGGTTCATCTGGCTGATATGGCATCGTTTGGATTACGTTCTCAGCTTCATTAAGGAGGCCAGACCGGCCAAGAAGATCCAGTAAGCATGTATAGTGCTGTAACGATGGCCGGATTCCATAGCCCTCGACCATTGATTTAAAAAGCTCGCGACCTCTGGCTAGAAGACCGACATGACTACACGCATAAATCAGTCCAACAAATGTAACCTCATTCGGCTTTACCCCATTTGAAACCATATCATCATACAAGGCTAGTGCCTCCCCAGCTCGCCCGTGCTGGGCCATACCGACGATAAGTGATGTCCAAGCAACTACATCTCTGTGGTGCATTCTACTGAAAATGTTCTTTGCAGCTACGATATCACTGCATTTTGCATACATATCGATCAGTGCATTACTAACAAACACCGAAGATTCAAATCCGAGAGATAGAACTAAACCATGAACCTGCCTCCCTGATATAGAAGCTGCCAAATTAGAGCAAGCACCGACCATACTCGAAAGAACTAAAGGATCCACAATGTTGACCCCTTCCCTCCTCATTTCAGTAAACACATAAAATGCATCAAGCCCTTTTCCGCTTTGGACTAAACCCGATATCAAAGCAGTCCAAGAATACAAATTCTTAACTGGTAATCCCTGGAAAAGCTCGAAAGCCTCCTCCTTTCTTCCACTTCTCGCGTACCCAGATATCATAGAGGTCCAAGAAATCGTGTTTTTCGTTCCAATAGAATCGAAAACAGCTCTAGCACTATCTGGCAATCCGCATTTGGCATACATATCAACCAGAGAAGATTTCACAACATCATCATCCGAATACACCGAGACTAAGAAACTAGCATGAACTTGCTTCCCCAGCCTAATGGATTCCAAGTTAGCACAAGCCTTGACAAGAGCGGAGAACACGAAACCATCCGGATACAACCCGTCATTAGAAGCCATGGAAGGAAATATGGAGAGCGTTTTACGGGAGTGATTGGCGTGGTTAAGAGCGGTGAGAATCGAGGCCCATGAGATGTGATCTCTGTGTGGCATTTCGTCGAACATGTGAAGAGCATGAGAAACGGCGCCGCATTTGCCGTAGGCATCGACGAGAATGTTGGCCAAACCCCAACATTGGGAGAGGCCGAGCTTGAAGATCTGAGCATGGAGGGATTTGGCGGTGGTTGGGGCTCGGTGCCTCGAGCAGAATTGGAGCTGATGAAGATAGTGACGGATAAGCATTCATCAGCCTTTTTTTTTGCTTTATATATATATATATATTCTCTCTTTGGCTCTATTTATATGACTTTAAACCGTTTTCAAATTTGTTTTTCGATTAGAAAATAATTTATTCGATAATCTAAAATTTATATCAAATTAGCACTCTATATTATTTGATTTGGTTCGGTTTTGATAAAATTCGCGTTTAGATTTTATTTTAAAAAATTTTGTTTTTTCACGAATTTTATAAAAATCGGTTCGATTCAATTTCAGAAAATTCGATTCTATAAAAAAAAATATAATGTCCAAATTTGTTAAAGAACTGTTAAAAAATTTTGAATAATGCGATTTAAAAAAATACCAAAATTTTTGGTTCCGTACCATTTGATCCCACCATGCTTTAAACCGAATACAATTAATAAATATAAATTGCTTGCATTATTTGCTATTTGCACGCTAAACCCTCTTTTTCAATCTATGGTTCCTTTTGTTACAGTTACTTCTCGACTTGGTCGAGATCTCTGGTGAATTTATCTTTTGAGAAATAGAAAATTCACATTTCCATAAAAAAGAAAAAAAAAATTGCATTGGAACCAAAGCCATTTCTTTACTTGTAGAGATTAGCTATCTCATCCTTGTACTTGTCAACAACCTTGTCCCGTCTGATCTTCATCGTCGGTGTCATCAAACCGTTGTCTACCTGCACAAACCCGAAAAAGACATTGTCCGAATTTCATGCTCAAAAGCTTCCGTCTTTGAGTTTCCCCGAACAGACAAAAACATCGATGAGTTCGGGTTTTGTACCGTGAAGGGTTCGTCCACGACGAGAACTGGCCCGACCTGGAAGGAGCATTCTGATGTCCTGTCTCCAGAGAAAATAAAAACCGACATTGCAGAAACATTTCTATATTCAGAGACTTATTCTTTAACCTGATTATGTCGAGAATTCGCACGTTTTGGCTTTGTTTTTCGTGTTTCGATTATGGCAAAACCCGTCTGAATCCTATGAACACAAGCTATAAATGAACAGTTAATACATAACCATTTACCATTTTCGCAGTTCTTTGTAGACCATGCTCGTTAGCTTCTCCTTGCTAAGCTCGGACGCTCGAGAATCTCCGGGTGAATCGTTATTTTCCGCTGCTATATCTGCTTCTTCTTTGTTCGGGACTATAATAGCCCCAATACGGCGTTGATCCTGGAAATTACAGATCATGGAAGCATCCGAAGAACGGGTAAGCAAAATAGCTCGATCCTGTTTCTTGTAGGACTTAAGTTTCCGACAGGTACCTGACCGATAACCAAGATTTGTTGAATCAAACTGCTTCTCATGGCAGCTTCTTCGATCTCTAAAGGTTCCACATTTTCACCTGCATTAACCAAAGAGAGAAAACGTTATGAGCAACCGGGTTTTGTGTACGATGAAGCCGGAGTTTTTCGGGTATACCAGTGGAAAGTACGATCGTGTCCTTGGCTCGGCCTTCGAGAACAATGGAACCTCCAACGCTACGGCTCCGTCCTGTCGGGTGATGAGGAGCAATCCAACCCATATCTCCTGTATTGAACCATCCATCTTCATCTAAAACTTGCCTTGTGGCCAATGGATTCTGAGTAAGAATACCAACATAAAAATATGTTCGATAACTTTATATAAATCATCTTACACTAAACACAGAAGAATCCATGAAAATTTTACAAGATTCATCTATAAAAATTTGCATTTACAAAGGAGAAATCTTTCTGTTCAATCACAAAGGAAGTATTACCTTGTAGTAGCCTTTCATAACTTGGGGACCTCTAACTTTAACAATGCCCTTCAGACCAGGGGGGAGAACATTATTTGTCTCAAAGTCCATTACTTTGAGTTCTGTGTCTCGAATCGGATGCCCAACTGATCCAAGAACCTTAAAAAATGATTTTACAGAAAGAAAAAAAGAAAGTATTATGAAAACGATATCTCGAATTCAGACCAGAAGTATCCATCTTTTTACACATTTTCATTTCTTGAATATGGTAGTTTGGAATTTGCTTCTAAAGGCATGAACCACACAAGCACTGTATAATGTGTAATAATCTATGATTGATCAATACAGAGAGAGCTTTCTTTCAGTCAAGTGATCACAAAAGGCAACAATCAGAAGAGTTGAAGAGTTGGAAAACTCGGATTAGAAGGAGAAAACCGGGATTGACTTACGTTACAGCTAAGCCTCCGTACCGAGATAACCGGGGATGTCTCGGTTAAACCGTACCCGTTTTGTACGTCCAAACCGACGGCCTGTATGGATCAAAACTCTACCTTTAGATATTGGAATGGAATCATATCGGTTCAGAAGAAAAATTACGTGATTTCTTCTCAAACACCTCGAAGAACTTATCGATATGCATCGGTAAACTACTACCTCCGCTAATACCAGCCTGCAAGAACCGAATAATAAAACCGACGTTACTGTAATTCACATAAAATCCAATAAAACAGATGGAAATTACTTGTGATACCTTCAGTATACCGATAGAAGAAAGGATTTTTTCGTAGACGAGCCTTTTGGCCAACATATGGAGCGGCCATAATAGGGCAGGGTGCAATATTAGATTCTCGATCCTTTCTTCACCCGAAAAAATCCCGACGAGTTTCACATTTTGTTTGTGCATCAGATTTTAACAGTAGATGTGAGCCTTTTGAACGATATGCTTCAGATATTGTCAGTTCAGTTACATCCATATATACCGACAAGATTCAGGGAGAGAAAAGAAAAATGAGAGAAACATCTGAACTAGATTTTATCACAAGAATACCTTGACAGATTAGACAGTTCTTGCTCACTATAATCGAAGAACGGAATTCAAGAATGTTCCATATCATCCACCAAAATACCTTGATCAGCGACAAGCCATCTGCAAGAGTTATCGGCGAAAAGTGCAATCTTGTCGTCTGGTTTCACTCCGACAACTCGTAAACCCTCTGCAAAGCTCAAAATTTCTTGTTCCAACTGGGCCATAATATGGCAGCAGCTGCTCTTGCCGATAGCCAGTCCACGAGAGATACGAGATAGGGTGGAGGCTTTTGGTTTTTTGACAGACAAAAACCCTGCAAATAGAAATCGGGCCAAAGTCTTAAAGAGCTATTGAGAATTTTTGAACGTTAAAGAAGATGTAATACAGTCTCTGACCTCGTAAATTCTTTTCGTCTCCATATACGCAAGGCTGATCCTGATCAGTGTAAATGCCAGAAACTTACGAGGAGCTGAACTTGCGGAAATCTGCTTCTGAATCCCGCTGCAATTCTCCAAAAGAGGAAAAGGAGGAATAGATGACTCTTAGAAACAACTCCTACCCAAGATGATGAGCGAAACTCGATGACTCGATCATGGAAAACAATATCGAGAAGAGACAGCCATGGGAAATCTCGAGCTCGATGACAAGACCCAGAATAACTCTTTCTTATATTCTTAGAACATCGAGATCTATCATCTGTTCATACATCTTCTTAGTGTTCCTTTCAGACCAAATCCGGCGAGTGTGAAGTTTATTGCTAACAGCAATAACAAGTATACGTAAAAAGATGAATCCAATGCACTACAGCGGTAAAGTATATTGATAAAACAATCGATTAGAAACACCAGAAGCGATAGAAAGTGTGGAAATACCTGTAAAGTGTCTCGTATACTAAAGGAACGGAAATAAGGTAGTGTGGTCGGTACTGCTTCAGATCATCCTACACCCGACAAAGTTAAAAGGATAAAGCCGAAAGATATGAAGAATTCACCATGACGTTCCCTCATCGTCGAAAGAAAACCGATCCCCATAAGCTTAACAAGTGACCAGTATAAAGTTCATCACTTTTGAGTAATGGAATAGGCGTCCGAAAAACAAACAGGCATAACAAAAAACCGGGAAAAAAAATGAGAATTACCTTTAAGTATCGTATAGAAGTGTACATTTGCTCGACTCCATGTGTGAATATGAAGTATTCACAAGCGCGTTCATAAGCATGCCACGAGGGCAGCATACTTAGAAATCTATCCCCGGCTTCAGTGGGTACACTTGCGTGAAGGCTACTTATCTGTAAAACGTTCAACGAGCAAAGAAAGAAGAATGGAGGTTAAGCCGATTCTTTACCAACCGTATAAACATAAAAAAGTTTTTCATGCTTATACAAAAGATTCTCAAGATTAAACCTCAGACAATACAATCTTTCAGATCGAGAACCACATCAGAACAGAAAAAGCACCGAATAATGAACGATATAAAGAAGAATTGGGGTAGAACCTGGTGTAAGAGATTTCTATGTGTAAGCATAACTCCTTTCGGGTTTCCCGTGGTTCCGCTGGTGTACATAATCGAAGCCGTATCATCGGGGTTGATGTATTCGTATTCATACTTCCCTAAAATATTTCATAGAAGGTATTATCTACCAAGAATTCATTTTTTTCAATGTCTGATAATAAGAAAGTAGTGTCTGAACCTACCAGATCCAAACGAGTTCCTCAATCTTTCCCATCCAAAATCCATAATTTCCGTGTAGCTGTATACAGGAGACCTCGTCCCCTCCATAAACAACGACGATTTCTCACCCCACAGAAGGATTACGAATCTGAGATTTGCCCTCGAAGAAAACGTCTCGGAAATGCGATTGAAAAACTCGGGATTATCCACAACCAAGGCCACACTGCAATATAGGATCATTGCAGGCCGCTGTTATAGATCCCGATGTAAAGAACCGGAGAAAAGATGGGTAAAGTTCTGGCCAGTGGCCATACCTTTCGGAATGATTATAAATCTGTAATAACTCTTCAACAGAAGATCTGGATCCCCTAACGACGTTAACTGCTCCTGTGGCCATTGTACCTATCATCAAGTAATAAAGAGTACGTCAAGATACCTGCGGGGAAAAAAAAGAAAAAAAAATTGAAAATCGAAGTGATGTCACTAATCATACCGCAATATGAACACAGTTTAAAAAGGGGTGAGCAAGCTTTTGTTCTGAAGAATCATTGCCAATTGATAGGGCAGGGTGCAATATTAGATTCTCGATCCTTTCTTCACCCGAAAAAATCCCGACGAGTTTCACATTTTGTTTGTGCATCAGATTTTAACAGTAGATGTGAGCCTTTTGAACGATATGCTTCAGATATTGTCAGTTCAGTTACATCCATATATACCGACAAGATTCAGGGAGAGAAAAGAAAAATGAGAGAAACATCTGAACTAGATTTTATCACAAGAATACCTTGACAGATTAGACAGTTCTTGCTCACTATAATCGAAGAACGGAATTCAAGAATGTTCCATATCATCCACCAAAATACCTTGATCAGCGACAAGCCATCTGCAAGAGTTATCGGCGAAAAGTGCAATCTTGTCGTCTGGTTTCACTCCGACAACTCGTAAACCCTCTGCAAAGCTCAAAATTTCTTGTTCCAACTGCAATTTAAGATAACAGAACTGACCTAAAAAATCTCGTGTAGTAAAAAAAAACAATGACCGCAATCTATTGACTCGGGCATTTAAAGTTCCAAGTTCTTCTGCTCATCTTGAAATACGAAAAAAGCTATTTCGCAGAAAAGAGAATTACAATAATGCAGAAGAATAGACCGAGCTAAAAAAACCGAGTTTTTTTCCATCATGTTGTTCAAGATGATGGTAAGAAATGACACTGTTCAAAGATCTCATATCATTGATTGATCTGCTAAGTGATAGAAAACCCGGCTCAAGGTAGGAAATCTAAGATTCTGATCTCTTCATACACTTCTTTTGCAGGTGAGACTAACATATGAAACACCATTTTTCTAAGTAACAATTACCTGTTTGTAAGTCAGTTTAGTAGGTGGATCATGATAAGGATCGATCACTGCAACTCGATCACCGTACTTTTCCGCCGACGATCTCCAAATATCGGGAATGGCCCTCCATTCCCTTGAGGACGAAGCATCGTCCCCCGATAAAGCAGACCTTTCGAGGAACGGCGAACACCTCCTTACCTCCTTTTCCTGAATCTATACAAAACGATATCGAAATACAATAAGAGATTATGATGCATATCTCAAGATTGAGATCAAACACATATACATATACATATACATATACTATACATCAAACTGAAAAGAAAAGTTATGATTTCACAAGTATCCTGACACTCAGACATAGTTCTATAGCTAACTCAAACATGAAACAACACCAAACTCAATCATCACCAGAATCTGCAAAACCATTACTTACGTTATGACCTACGCCTGATTCTGGATGATCCACTTTGGGTGAAAATCACAATCTTTAGATTAAGGAAGTTTTTTAATTGCTGGATTTTTCCGGCATGGCAAGACTTTTCTCGCTCATATTCTTCCCAAAGAAATCACCGGAAACAGTAAAAGGGGAAGATATAGTGCTGACAGAAAATCAAAAACAGAGGAGGAAGAAGAATCACAAAACCAGCAATCTCAGGTGATCCATAACAAAAAAAACTCGCCTTGGATTCGCAGTGAAGCCGAAACGTCCGACGGCGAGAAATTCGAACTCGGGGGACAAAACCCTTGTAGCCCAACAACAATCTGAACCCGGAATCGCGAAATTCATGAGAAGGAGAGCCGTAAGAAACGAGGGTCGAAGCCCCGAGGGAAGAGGACGCCATCGACGAAGCAGGAGAGAGGAAAGAGACGAGGAACAAGGGGGTAATTATCGGCGCTCACATGAACTCGCATTTTGAGCAGATGAGACAGAGAAAAGGGATGGGACTGTCAAGGAAAACGCGGAGAGAGGGAGGGAGAGACCTCGAAGCAAGTAATTTACAAAAGGACACGAGCATATCGTTGTCCAGATCGTAATCACGCAGGAAAATGCGGATTCGTTAGCGCAGCAGCACAAGCATGGGAGCGAATTTAAAACAAAAAAAAAACATTTTTTTCAAAAAAAAAAAGCAAAGCTTGTATTGGTGCAGGTTATGGTGAAATGAAATCAATGTGGGTTCTTTCTTTAACAGCATATATGTTTTGTCTGTTCATCATCACAGTGTCACTAACCTCTGTTACTTTGTTAACTACACACACGCAACTACATACGTAAAAAGCCAAATCTGTCAAGAAAATGTTCCTTTATGTAAACAAGAACCCTAATATGGATTTCGTTTTTATTTTGTAAACAAATGTAATTAAATTTGTTTTTATTTAATATTAAATATAGAAATAGAAATTATTAAAAAAATTACATAGTTAAGGTTTGAACTACATACATGATATTATTTTTTTTTTAAAAGTTTGAAGATATTCTAACGATGTTATATATTATTTTGGAATATATTTTTTCTAGATCCATACATATTTGTACTAATAAAATTTACATATTGTTATAAGTTTTTTATATGTATTTTATATTTCTTTATTATCTTTTTTTTTTTACTTTTACTTTGTTATTCTCCAATTTATAATCGTTCTTAACCAAAGTAAAGAAAGATTCTTTATCAGAAATTTAATATGCTTCCAGGTAGATTCCTTTACGTATATCAGTTTTCGTTTTGGAAGTCATTCCTCTAAAGCTGTCAACATACATTAATAATAATAATAATAATAATAATAATAATAATAAAAGAATTTCATAAACAATTTATATAATCTTTCTCGTATTTGCCAAAACAAGAACCGAAGAAAGAAACATTCCATTGACAAAGTTTGACTTTAGACGAATTCAGCACTCTCTCTCTCTTTAGGATTCTTCACAAAGCAACGCTCGGAAACTTGCACCGCCCATTTCCTGTAAAACAAAAAAAAAAGCATTATACGAACATTTGCTTACAAAAATAGAACATGGGTATTTTCGTCTTTTTATATAACCCGGAGAAGCTTACCGGGATCGACCGTGGTCTCGCGAGCCAAGCCGTTGAAGTAACACCGAGCGTTCTGGCTCCTGAACTGAGCCCAGTACGAGCTGAACGCGTAACTTGCGTGCCAAGTAATCGTCACTGGCTGGTAACACTCCCTCCCCGGCGCCAACGCCGAGCAAGTCTCGTTGCTTCTTCCGCAAGCAAACCCCAACGCTTGCCCTAACGCCGCCACGTCAGCCCCTTCCTTGACCACGCACCACGCTCTCCTCTTCTTGCACGGCGCAACCCCGACCCCACCGTTTCCCGGTTTTGCCGGCGGTCCATAACCTGAAACCGGTTTTCTCCCGGTAAAGTCGATTTCGTAAACCGGTGTACCGCTGGGACGCAGGATTCCCCAGTGCCTCTCGGTTCCTGGACCGGGTTTCCGGTTTTCGTCAAACAAGGAGAATACGAAAGTCGGTATGACTGAACCGGGCCTTGCCGGCGTACCGATCGGCGGGTCAGCCGTCATTTTCTTGATCAGATTCCGGTTATACGTGGCAGCGTTGCGCACGCTGGCTCCTATTTCATCGATATCACCCGAATTAGGCCACCCGGTTCCCGAGATCGCGAGACGGATACTCGGGTACCCGAGGTTGGACATCGCAGAGATAACCGAATCCAGCATCTGGTCCAGCAAATTGCTATAGACCAAACCGGTTTTCGGATCGGTATACGTGGTATTTCCTTCGAAGAGAGCGAAATCTAAACCGGTGTTAACCGGATCGCTAGACCAGGGGAAATACGGATAAACGTCGATGAAGAAGAAGGAATTCGTCCCGTTGAGAAACTTCAGCAACGGTAACATCACCGGAAAAGCGATATCATCCCGAAAAGTTCCGCTCGACGGCGGGAATGTCGTCGCAGATTGCAGAACGTCCATGGCGAGAGGAGTTCCGACCTTAACGTTATGAATCCCCTGTGCCCTGAGAGATTTAACGATCTTCCGCATGGCGGGAACGAGATTTCTCCAGATATCTCTGTCTTGATCAGTGTTGTAATAGCTCAAGACTTCGTTTCCGACAAGGACGAATCTGATTAGGGTTCGAGGGTAGTAAGGCAAGACATTGGTACGGACCCAGTCGTCTGCAGCCCTCTGGTCGGACCCGATGGAGACGATGTCGTGGTTTTGAACCATGATGGTGACGCGGAGATTCGTCTGGGAGAGGAGAATTAGGGTTTCAGGGTCGGCGTCGTAGAGCTTGACGTGACCCGCGTTAACGGATTTGATTAGGTTAATGGATTTGTAAGGGGAAGGTAGGTTGTCTCCTTGTCTTCCATAGCTGATTCCGACCCTGCCCGAAAACCCTAATACTGCGTTCTTCTCTGCGTTCCAATGTTTGCCAGTTGCAAAGCAACGTGATCCTGTCGGAAAAAGAAAGTTTTACAGATTTTGGGTTTCAATAACCAAAAAAAAAAGGAACGAATTAGTTACACAACAATTCTGTTGCTAATAACCTAATTTAATTCGCGCTTAATTACCATTAGATGATTAATCGAACGAGTAGTAAAATTTTCGTGTTCTACATACCAATGCAAATAGTAATAAAGTTTTCATTTTCCCTTCAAATTTACAATAATTAAACAATGTGTTATATATAAAACGTTCGGACAATGCGATATTTTTCGTTGTAAATGTACAACACAAACTGTTTTTTCGTTTCAATTTCACCACAAATTTCCTACTCCTCCCCTTTTTTTAATAGATGTAATCCTTAATAAATGTTGTTTTAGATTTTTCAGGTAATTTTTCAAGAAAATTTTCAATTTTGTCCTTAATTAAAAATAACAATTTCAACAAAGTTTCAATGAAAAAAATCATTTAACTACGGTATACATACCTTTTTTTATATTTTCTTGAGAAAAAATCTTAAACAATATGTAACATTTTAGCAATACAAAATTCGAAAATTACTTGTTTTCTTGAAAAAAAAAATCAATAAACATTCTCAAAAGATTTAACCCAAAATCGAAATGAATATTAGAAATAATGAATTTATATGACCGATCTTAAATAAATTTGGGATTAAAACGATGTTATGCAAACACAAGATTAAGTTTTAGTGTAATGGGGAGATCATTGACTTACTTGAAAGAGAAAGGAGAGTGAAGAGGAAGAGAGAAGGGAGACTCAGAGCCATTGAAATGGATGTGGGAGACAGTGCATTGGTTTTTGTTATGTATTTAAATTGGTTTTTGGAGTGTGACATTTAATTATTGGTTACACATTTTATACCCATTCAATGCAAAGAAGAAGGCTTTGCACAAATTTTTTTTTTTTCCTTGGACCGTCCAATGTTCTTTTGATGCCCTTTTTCGTTACAAAGGTTGGTTGGTTTGCCTCATAAAAATCGTTGTGAAATTAGCATATATATATATATATATAATATGTAAAAAGATTATCTACAAGTCCTGCATCCACTACAAATATTGCATATAACAAAACTATGCATTATGCATATGTATGTATATGTAACCAATATAAATTTGAAAAATTAAAAAAAAAATCAAATATATATATATTATAAGATGATAAATTATCTCACACGCGGCGCAATTCGGATGGCCTCTACGCAGCGAAGGCTAATCCACTTCTTCCTGATCATCACCTTCCTCCTTGTCCTCGCCGCCGGCGATGTGCCGGAGCCGGATGCGGAGCCGGTTCCGGCGCCGTGGCCGCACCAGTTCCACGCGTTGCTGTTCATGAACTACTCGGGATCTTTGGAGATGATCGATCTCTGGTACGATTGGATCAACGGCCGAAATTTCAACATCATACAGAAGCAGCTGGGGATTCTGACCTACGATCTCGAGTGGAACAATGGCACTTCTTTCTTCTACAGGCTCGATGAGTCGAGAGAGTGCCGTACGGTTCAAGTCGAGGTGCGTATTCGTCTCCGCGAATTCCATATCCATGTTTTCTGGTGACGGGACTGTGGTTTTTGTTTTGTTCACGGGATTTCTGGGCAGAGAGATCATAGTTTATGGACAAATTCGAATTTTAGGGTTCAAATTTTTATTTTTCCTTGCATTACGAAATGGGTTGGTTTCTCTCGAAGCAGAAACCTGAACCCCAAGTCACTGGTCGAATGTATGCAAGCAATGTTCATTTGGCATCATCCAGTGGTTCCATTATAGAGGTTGGGGTTCAGTGAACAAATGACTAAGCGATAGAAAATTCGAATTTTCAAGATTTGAATTTGTCCCCTTTTAGAAATGGGAAATGATGAACTTGGAAGAGAACTTCTTGAGGTTTTCACCAGGCGTTTGGCAACTTTTACAAGCCTTCATTTCATCAGCTGAATAAGCCCTCTTCAGCTTCAGGTCTGAGATCTCTGTTCTGTGAATTCTGCAAAGTTCAGTGCTTGCCGTAGAAAAACGAGTATTTCCTACTTGTCAATTACAGCGGGTGGCTCGCAATGCTAATTGTTGGGTACCTCGTCTCATATGAAGTTAACAAATCATATAGCTGATGGTCATATAGCCATGGTATATCGATAATCTGGCCTAGTAATGCAGAAACTTTGGCGGGGAGTGGAAAATGAGGATCTAGGGATAGTGAGCAAGACCAAATCTTGTTAGTCACCTTATCTCAAGATCAAGAGTGCTATTGTTTGTAGGAAACTGAAACCCTTCTGTGATTCAATGTCTGTCTGAGATGTTTTTCATCTTCTTGTGATCCAAACGCAAAAACCTATGGCTTTTCAACGTACATTATGCCAAGATCTAGCCTTTTTGTTCATATTCTTTTGTTCCTCAGTTTTGGACTTCGAATTCATGTATCGTTATCATGGGAGCTTAGAATTTTGTTGCACCGGGTCAGCATTACCCTTTTTTAGCTAGGTCATTTAGCAGAAAGTGTTGTCTATATCTTACTAACCTTTTATTTATATCCTTTAAAGGTTGGAATTTTGCGGCCTAATTGGCTGGATGGAGCTAAGTATCTGGGTCAGCGATACATGGACGGGTTTCTCTGCAACGTATGGGAGAAGGTCGAGTTCATATGGTACTATGAGGATGTCGTGACCAAGAGACCTGTACACTGGGTCTTCTATACAGGTAATGTATACATATACATGATCATGAAAGGCTATATGGGGTGTAGCTTTAACTAAGCACGGTTGTTCTAAAACCTCACTGAGTCAGTTTAAGTGAAAAACTGGGCTTGAAAAATTCTCCTGATTTCTGATCAGTTCAGTCGGAAACGATTTGAATCTTGAGAATTTCTGGTCAGTTCCTCGGGTACTAAGCTCGGGAATTTGGTATGAACTCTTCTCCATATGAGTATTAATACCGGAAACTACCATCTTGTTACAGTTAAAAACAGTCTCTCACCGAGTATATATGCACATTCGAGTGATATTTTTTTTTTTAACGGACGGATCAATGGTTGCAGGTAGGGAGGCTCATGTGATGACATACGAGGTTGGGGCGGTCCTGGAGGACGAGAAATGGCAGGCGCCGGTCTATTGCTTCGACCAGGAAAGGGAAAGCTTTTTGTCCGAAGGAGGTTTAAGAGAATTTAAAGGAATCGGCACGTTGTGATTACAGTAATAAAATGTCCAATGTAACAACATGGTAGAGGGCGAGGTGAAAAAGATGTGACGAGGTTTATTCGGTGGAGAATAAAATTTGGGGTTGATTTGAAATAGTTTGAGAAGTTTATGTACCCGCGTGTAATAAATTATGACAAGTATCTACTAGGCTAACGGTCTGGTGCATATATGTTTGCATTTTTAAGGCCATCTTGTTTATTTTTTATATTTTCCTCCAACTATATAATATTTTTTTTTATATTTTGATTACGCTTTAATTGAGAGAATAATGTCATATTATTATTATTATCCTCCAACTTAAAAATACAAAACGTAGAATCAGACACTTATTATATTATATTAGATTCCAATACCTAAAAATATAAAAAAATTCAAATAAACCCCAATATTTTATTCTCTAATTATATAAACCTCGTCAAATCTTTTCCGGTAACATTTAGTTCTTCAAACCTTCAATTTCATCCACAAAAGCTTTCACATTCACATCACATTCCTCCGCCGCCTCCGCTGCCAAAGCTTTCAGCTCCGCCGCGTTCCTACTCATCTTCTCCGCCGCATCGTCGCCGCACATCACCGTCTCCAGACACCTCCTTATCTCCTCGCCCTCCACGTGTCCTCCCTCCCCTTCCCTCACCCTCACGCCGTTCCGCCACGTGTCCTCCACCAGCTTCGCCGTCGTGTACTGGTCGGCGAACTTCGGGAACGCCATCACCGGAACGCCGGCGCAGACGCTCTCCAGCGTCGAGTTCCAACCGCAGTGCGTCACGAAACACCCGACCGCGGCGTGCGACAGAACCGCGATCTGAGAACACCAACTCACCACCAATCCTCTTCGGTTCCTGTCTCCATCTCGAATCAGATCCAGAGCTTCGTTTTTCTCGTCTGGATTTTTCGTTCTCATGACCCACAAGAACGGCCGATTCGTTCCCAGGACGCCGATCGCGAGCGCTGCCGTGTTTTTCGCCGTCAACTCGTCGTCGTGAGTGCCCATAGACAAGTAGATCACGGATTTTTCGGGTTTCGAATCAAGCCATTTGATGTAATCGTCGTCTGAATCCGACCGGAAAAGATCCGCTCGGCCGGAGGATGATCCGTCTGAGAAAACCAACGGACCCACTGAAATCATCCTGAATTTCTTGACGGAGATCAAAGCCTCGGGTTCTAGTGCCCTGAACGTGTTGACGAGGATTCTAGGGTTTTGCTCCGATTCGAGAGCTTCGATGTGTTCCCTAAGTGTAACTAGTGCCGACGGGAAAGTTTTCTCCGGCTGGATCAAGGACGGTAAGTCGCCGGCGGCGAGCGGTGGCAGTCCCGGTAAATTTACGGAATCCGAGGGGTCATTGTCAGCGCCCTTATCGAACACGTGTCGAAAAGAGTCAGTGAAGTAATAGTAATAAACGTCGAGTACCGTGGCGGGCTCGATCCAGAGAAGCGTCGCCGGAAGGTGAAACTCACGCGCCACAGCGGCGGCCCAAGGGACGAGTATGGAGTAGATCACGGCGGTGATGGGTGGGTCCGAGGTATCGATGACGTCACTCAGCGCGGCGGAGCCACGGCGTTTGAACTCCGACATGTAGATCTTGCCGTCCTCCGGGGACTTGACGCCGTCGTCGAAGCCATCGGATAACCAGGCAAAAGAGAGGCCGTCTACGGCGGAGGGCGGTGTTCCCATGCGGCGGAGGGCGTTGACGGTGGTGGAGAATGTGACGGTGGCGCCGTGGCTGATGAGGCGGTTGGCGAGCTCGAGCGCCGGATTAATGTGGCCTTGCGCAGGAAAAGTCACCAGGAGGAAGTGTGGACGGCGGATTCCGGTGACGGAGACGGCGGAGGAAGCCATTTGTGTGTGTGGAGTGAGTAGCAACCGGCGAGAGTGTGTGTGTATATATATATCGAGCCTTAAATCTGGGGAATATTTTGAACGAGTGAGCTGACTCGGTAGTTAAAACAACTCATCGGTCCATTTCTACCAAAGAAACGAGTCAAGAGTAACTCGGATGCGTACATATATTTGATCCAGTTGGGGGTATTGGGGGTAAGGGAGCAGAATAGGTCCTTGGAATAAAATTCGTATAATCGTAATATGGTTATGTTTTTTAGCAGTAAAACCAAAGAATAAAAGGAATTTTAAAATATAGAAATAAAAATTTAAATTGTATAATATGATTTCTTCACCATTGTGGTGTCGTAGAGACTTTGACCGGTGCGTCCCGCAGCGCGGCGGAGCCACGGCGTTTGAACTCCGACATGTAGATCTTGCCGTCCTCCGGGGACTTGACGCCGTCGTCGAAGCCATCGGATAACCAGGCAAAAGAGAGGCCGTCTACGGCGGAGGGCGGTGTTCCCATGCGGCGGAGGGCGTTGACGGTGGTGGAGAATGTGACGGTGGCGCCGTGGCTGATGAGGCGGTTGGCGAGCTCGAGCGCCGGATTAATGTGGCCTTGCGCAGGAAAAGTCACCAGGAGGAAGTGTGGACGGCGGATTCCGGTGACGGAGACGGCGGAGGAAGCCATTTGTGTGTGTGGAGTGAGTAGCAACCGGCGAGAGTGTGTGTGTATATATATATCGAGCCTTAAATCTGGGGAATATTTTGAACGAGTGAGCTGACTCGGTAGTTAAAACAACTCATCGGTCCATTTCTACCAAAGAAACGAGTCAAGAGTAACTCGGATGCGTACATATATTTGATCCAGTTGGGGGTATTGGGGGTAAGGGAGCAGAATAGGTCCTTGGAATAAAATTCGTATAATCGTAATATGGTTATGTTTTTTAGCAGTAAAACCAAAGAATAAAAGGAATTTTAAAATATAGAAATAAAAATTTAAATTGTATAATATGATTTCTTCACCATTGTGGTGTCGTAGAGACTTTGACCGGTGGATGGATGATGAGAAAGCCCCCCGACGAGTAGAAGAAACCATAAGCACGTTTTCTCTTCGGTAGCTGCCGTGCCATTTTCTAATGGTCCGTTCTTTTTTTTTGGGGGGTAAAAAATGGTCCGTTCTTATTTGTAAGTATAACCATATATTTTCCTCTTTTATTACTCGGATTCTTTTTTATTTTATTTTTATTTTTCCTTGCATCCAAAACCGTAATTGTGTATCCGACATTTTAACGATCCCATTCTCAATCGACTTCAAAAGAGGAAAGTCATAGTCCTCCGTTGCTTAGTCAAATCAACTCCTGATCTGATTCAGTTGACGTATATGGTGTTGAACAGGTCCAACTGCATCAATACTCCACCCGTCGAGAAGAACTTTGTCCTCAAGGTTCAGTTTAGGAAAACAAAGCCGAACTCGATTCTCATCCTCCCGTGTCGTCATCGAGATTGTTTGTCATGTCGGGGTCTCCTTCCATCAAGAGGTTGTCTGCATTTATGTCCCGATGTATAGCATTCATCACAACTAAAACACAATCCGAGACTGTGTTTTGTCTTTATCTCATCTCAATTTAGTTTTTTAGGAGTGAGTCCGGTATTACGTGGTTGGAAGTTGCATTGGTTGACCGGCGGACTGCGGTGTTGTCGTTGCAATAGCTCATCGTGCATCCAAGCTAACATAATAACTTCCTTGAAAGATTTTGACTGAAACATGCGAATTTTATCGGCAATGGACAGTCATAGGCCTCCGATGAATGTTTCGACAAGCGTCTTTTGTGTCCAACCTTGCAATTTATTTTGGAGTCTCTCAAATTTCCGCTGGTAATCTTGCAGACTCCCTGTTTCCCTAATCTTTGATAGAGTCTCGTCAAAATCTTCACATTCGGTAGGCCCGAATCGTGCCCACAACTCTTGTTCGAACTCATCGCAAGTGATAATTGTCCTTTCTTCAGCATGAGATTTTCGCAAAGCTTACCCTCACTTGTTTGCATCATTATTGAGGTGGTAAGATGCATATTCCACATGGTGGTGTCTTGGTATTGGAAGAATTGTTTGACCTTGCTAAAGCATATTGTCGGATCTCTCCGTGCAAAGTGTGGAAATTCGAATTTGACATTTCGGGAATGAAACATTAGATTGCTACCTTCACCTCGTGTTGCAGAATTGCAAAATTGATGTCGGCTACCGCGATGCGAACTTGATCCTGTTGGAGTGCATAAAGTTTCTGTCAACCGAGTAAATGATGATTCCAATATCTACAATTTTCAATCACGGTCGTCCTCATCTGAGCGATGTCATCATGCATATTCGCGAGACTAGATTCAATATTTTCAATGCGTTCTTTGTTGGTGTTCATCTTGATACAACTAGGATGTGGTCCGAGTCAAATGATGAAAGAAAAAAATGAAGATAATGCTCTGATACAAATGATGGTCCCAATCAGAATTAATAAATAAAACAACATTTACAATTTGGAAAAAAAATTGTTTGTCTTATTCATCTTCTTCGTAGAACTTAAATAGAGAAAGGAAAAATAACTGAACATGCAATGTGAACCTACGTGCAAGAAAAATAAAAAAGATAAAATAACGAAGTGGTTCCTATAAAAGAGGAAAGACACAGTCCTCCATTATTAAGTCAAATCAACACCTAATCTGATTCAATTGACGTACATGGCGTTGAACCGGTCCAACTGTGTGATATCCTGAACTACGATGAGGGTTGGGAGTGTTTGTCGGTGTGATGACACGATCAAGGTGCGGCTCCCCGAGTACCACTAAGGGTAAATGGATATAGAAATGAATCGAACACACCCGAATGAGAGAGATCCGAGGGCTATATAGGTATGTGACTATATAGTCTAAGATAACATAAAAGGATTAGTTGGACTACTCATAGGAACAAGGTGCACCTACATTTTCGGTTGATTATCCCGAGAGAACTCCAAAGTTAAGCGTGGTGACTCTGGAGCAATTTCAGGTTGAGTGACCTACTGGAAAGTATCTCGATATGCATGCGAGTGAGGACAAAACGTGCTGGAAGGTCTCGTGTTGTTGTGTGAGGACAGTTTCGACATGACATAGCGGTCGCGAGTCATTATAGATGGCATCAGAGCCGGTACTCTCCTAGTACAGTGTGGTTCGAGGACGAACCAGACGAAAGTTGGTGCTCTGTGATATCCCGAGCTACGATGAGGGTTGTGAGTGTTCATTGGTGTGATGACACGATCAAGGTGCGACTCCTCGAGTACCACCAAGGCTAAAGGGATGAATAAATCGAACACACCCGAATGAGAGAGATCTGAAGGCTATATAGGTATGAGACTATATGGTCTAACATAAAAAGGATTAGTTGGGCTACTCATAGGAACAATGTATACCTACCTTTTCGGTTGACTATCCCGAGAGAACTCCAAAGTTAAGTGTGCTGACTCTGGAGCAATTTCAGGATGGGTGACATATTGGAAAGTGTCTCGATATACGTGCGAGTGAGGATAAAACACGCTGGAAAGTCTCGTGTTGCTGTGTGAGGGCAGTTTCGACATTTCGTAGCGGTCACGGGTCGTTACAGATGGTATCAGAACCGGTACTCTTCCACTATGATGTGGTCCGAGGACGAACCAGACAGAAGCTGGTGGGTTTGTGATATCCCGAGCTACAATGAGGGTTGAGAGTGTTCGCCGGTGTGATAACACGGTCAAGGTGCAGCTTCTCGAGTACCACCAAGGCTAAAGTGATACAAGAACGAATCGAACACACCCGCATGAGAGAGATCCGAAAACTATATAGGTATGAGACTATATGGTCTAAGATAATATAAAATGATTAGTTGGACTACTCATATGAACAAGGTGTACCTAGCTTTTTGCTTGACTATCCCGAGAGAACTCCAAAATTAAGCGTATTGACTCTGGAGCAATTTCAGGATGGGTGATATATTGGAAAGTGTCTCGGTATACGTACGGGTGAGGACCAAACACGATAAAAAATCCCGTATTGCTGTGTGAAGGCAGCTTCGACATTTCGTAGCGATCGCGGATCATTACAAACTGCATCATAAATTATATCCGAAGTAATATTTAAACAATCGAATATTTTTTTACTAACCCTAATAGCGAATCTACCGAAGATCATATTTATTTATTCATTTGTTACAATTTTGTTTCGAGTGCGATTTCTTTATTTGTTGCAATTTTGTTCAACCGCAATTTCAAAGTAGATGATCACAAATCGGATATCCAGAGTTTTCCGACGTACTCGGACTTCGATCTTGTCACCATGGGAATTCCATGGTTATTTTAAACTGAAACCCTAATCCTTTGTCGATTTTTTAGCCCTCATATCGCCTCTTCTTCTCACCACTCCGTCTCGGATACCCGCAAAACACGGGTAATTCGTCTTTGACCAAAATCCAAAGTGGAACCAGGAAATCGTTCTCGCCCACAACGGTTCCATACTAGTTTCGCCCGTGGACGAGTGCTAAAAATTTTCGAATATCCGACTCACGGATCGGGCAGATACTCGCCACCTCAGGTTCCTATCCTAGTACGAGAGAACACCGATCAAATCGACCGATACCAACCTGTCTTATCCCATGCTGGACCCATGTTCAAGTAACATCAAAGCTAAGAACCAGACGGATACACTGATATTATCCCACAAATAAAAGCCATCTAAACTGAGATTCTTCCACAAAATCTGCATGTCTGGTATTTCTTTTCCACTCTCTTAAAGGAGAAACCCGAATGAATAGGGAAGAGTTATACACTAATGTTCAAGGTGGAACACGTACTCCGTCAGGCGCTGCAGCTTGGAAGCATCCAGCTTCTGCTCTGTCTTCGTTGTCTGTTTCTTCACAGTCACCATTTGAGAAGCAGAATCCACCTCCCACCCCTGCTGCATTACATCTGTGCAAAACAAATTGTTCTTCACATCACATTGTTTCTTAGGTTCAAAAATAAAATTAATCTAATATCACATCAGAATTTACTAGCAATAGTATGGAGTATAAGAATTGTCTATTCAGTTGATAATTAATCTCTATATAAGTGAGGAAGAACAGATTCCCAGCAAAAAGCTCATTGTATGCATAAAACTTCTGCAACTACATGGCATTCCCTGCCTAGACAAATACTTACACGTAGACAATGCCATACAAAATCCTTGAAGTTTCTTTAAGAGGAATATCCACATAATAACTTGTATGCATAAAACTTCATTCACATGATTGATTTTACTAAAAATTCTCAGAACTTGTGCAAGATGGGACAGAAGCTTACAACTTATGGCATCAGCCTCTGTCATCCCTAGGAACAGTGCCATATCGCGGATGGTGATAGTGGAGTAAGCAGACAACAATAGCTGAAACATCTTTTTAGTGTAAAGATCTGCAGCAAAAAAAAAAAAAAAAAGATCACACAAATAACATCCTACAGCACCAGGCTCGGAAAAAGTTAGATAAAATTTCAACCATCTAGCCGAGAAGAACTACAACTCAACCATCTAGTTCAGAATATCTTCAGCTTTGTCAATGATACATGAAAATATGTTACCTGAGAATGCAGCAACAATATCTTTAGCTTCTTCACTCCAATCATAACCACGAATAGCTTCATATACACTTGCATATTCATGTGTCCACAGTTTCTGACCGACATTCCAAGCTGCAGTTAGCTCAGGTCTGCTCTCTCTGATGTTCGTAGGTATTGTTTTCCAGAGAAAACGGGCACTATTGCTGCAACAATACACTCAATATTCAATCCTATATTCTCAATTTCAAGATACAATGCTCGACTTCAGGAAACGACAAGTTCAAATCTATTAAAGATTGGCTGTATGTGCCCGAAGGTGTTACTGTTAGACTTCACAAATTGAGTCAAATTCTAGTTTCTAAGTTCACTACCAAGTGATAATTGACCAAGATCGATACAACTACTGCCAGAAAGCAACAGCATGTGAACCTAACGGATAAAACTAAGGCAATATGAAAAACAGAAACTTCAAATAGTAGGAAGATCCCGCAGCACCCAGCACCCAGCCCCATATCAGATTCTACAAAAATAGTGACGAGAACACATTTACCAATCTAAAAGATAAAAAAAATCGATCAGTTTTTCCAAAACACCCAGAAGATTGAAGACTCATATTCTATTGGGCATCATATCCCTAATCCACGGCAAAAAGTACTATTCCGAAGCCCTAAAATCCCCACAAAATCAAACAACACAACTTAATCGAATAAGATATCGAACTCACAGATCATCGGCGTAAATGTGTCCCAGGAGATGGATTAAGTAAGGCCATTCATCATGATAAGGGATTCCTTCAGCCGCGACCTGTCCGGGAGAAAAGAATAAGACGAAGAACGAATCGATGACGACATAGAAGCATTGTCGAAACCTTAAATTGAGGAGGAGGTGTATTGATGAACCTGGAGCCAAAGGTTGTCGCAGAGATCGGCGATCCTATCGAAGGATTTTGCCGCTAAAGCTTCTCTGATCGGAGAGAGGTCCATGGCCCTGTGTTCTTGGTACCGGTGATTTCTAACCCTTTTTTTCTTATTGTGATTCTTCTTCTTTTTTCCATTTCTGGTTTAAGCCCCAAAACTTTTAAATGCTTTCATAATTGCCCAGATATAATACATTTTAGATATATCACCCAAGTTGAGGCCTTTTCTGCAAATTCCAAAATTTTTGTGGGTCCCACTAGGTTTTTCCCGCACAATCCTTTGTCCTTTTCCCTCCACCTTGTTTCGCGCCAAAAACCCCATTGGTCACTTAAAGCATTAGGCCATTTCACGCGGGAAAAGAAAACCTGAAGGAAAAAAAAATCTCTCTCTCCCGCTCACAACAAGATCAGCCATGGCGGAGCCCGATCAGATCTCGAGGAAGAGGATGCGAATGTCGTCTTCCTTCGCTCAGAATCCAACAATAAGTAAAACGCAGAATCAGATCCAAAGCAACCGCTCCGGCCAAACTCTCTCCGCCGCATCTCGCGCCGGAAATCGACTTTCCGGCGAGAAACTCGAAAGAAAAGCACCGCCTCGGATGTATCCTCGTGTTACGATCAAGGATCTTCGTCTGAGACGCGTGTTCACTCCTGCTTCCATCTCCAGTGACTGGGAATTTAACGGGAAAGGGGAGACTCCAAACCAGGAACAAACCAAGGAATCTCTCCACGATTCCCGGAATCTAAAAGGTAAAATCTCCGGATTCTCAGTTCGGCACTGGCTTAATTTGATGCACTTGATTAGCCTTCCTGGGTATGAAGGTTTTTGCTGATGAAACAGTTGTACAAGAAGGAATCAACAAAGCCAATGTCGATAGACCAGGAGATTCCATGGAAGATCGCGAAGCATCGGAAATTATGCAGACGACGCCACCAGATTCCGAGCAATTCAGCAGCGAAACTTTGTCGAGACAGGAGATCTATGGTTCTAATGGAAATGACGTTTCCGAGAAGAAAAGTGAGACCAATCTCAGGACCAAATCGGTAACGTGTTGGTTCTTCTTACAGGGTATGTAAGAATGATGCGTTTTAAGTTTGGAATCTTCTGTTCTGATGTCATGCTATTACCTCTACAGGTTATTCATCCTTGTTCTCGAGCCAAGATTTTCACCAACCCTGCCTCTTTCAGCTACCGAAGATTGCTTCCATACTTGATGAAAGCTGCAGATGGTGCTTTTCTTGTTTTTATTTCTAGATTCTGTATTAAAAAGAACCTTTTTTGTATGATTGTGCGTCAAGAGTTTTGATAGTGAAGAGGCTGAAACACATTGTGTGACTTGTCTCTGCAGACGCAACATCATCAGACCGAAGCTCAAAACCCGACAAATCACATGACCAGGCTCATCCATGTATCATCAGTTCACAGGGTAGGGTAGAAAACGGGAGAACTAGAAATGTCAGTACTCACGATCCGAAGGAGGAGGCAGACAAATCGATGACAGTCGACGGCAAATGTGGCGAAGCTGAGCATGTGTCGCAATCGACAAACAACGTTTCCGATAAACTGTCGGATGGAAATTCACGTGCTTGCTCTTTGAAGAAAACGACTGAATCCAGTCCCAACAGAAAATCTGTACGATTCTCTCCATCAAGAATCTCCCTTCTCATTGCTTATCTTCCACAACCTGTCTAACAGGAACTATGTTCTTGACATGAACAGGTCTGCTCGAAGCTGAAGTTATTTATAGCTCCAGGTTCTGTGAATTACAGAAGATTGCTTCCGTACCTCAGGGATATTCCAGAGGTTACTCCTCGTAAGTCTTTATCTTCAGCTCTATAGAACTCATGGTTTACTATATTTCCTCGTTGATTATATCAATGATTCCGCATAGCGATTTCTCATTCATCTGGTGTAGTTGGTTTTGAAATGAAAATAATACTGCCAGTGTTTGTAATCATCCAGATACTGAGAAAAACGCCGAGGAAAACCAAGAAGCACAAGGAATGGTTACACCAGACGCCCCTATAGAACAGGACAGTAGCCATGATACAGGACCACAGCCTGTTGAACATTTTTCTGGATCTGCTGCATTGTCTGGTCCTGACAACGAACAAGAAACCCAAGTCAAGCATGTCATCCCAGATACCGAAAAACATTTAGACAGTACATTCAAGGTTTCGGGCTCTGAGACCCTGGCATCCACTCTTCCGGATTCAGGTTGTTCAAGTGACGTCGAGACATTAGCGGAGGCAAAAAACTCAGACACAGAAACGAGGAACGGAGCAGGAAAGCTGAAAGACGAAAAGAATGCAGAAAAACCAGAAGTAAACGGCTTGAATCCAAAGGAATCAACTCTTCAGGCCACCTTTGTTTCTTCTGGAACCCCTCCCTCGGCTTCTCCATCAAAAGGGGTTCTGAAAAGGAATTTACGAGGATGCAGAGGGTTATGCACTTGCTTGAACTGCTCTTCCTTCCGTCTACATGCTGAAAGGGCATTCGAGTTCTCCAGGAACCAGTTGCAAGATACTGAAGAGATGGTTCTGGACCTAGTTGGCGAAATATCCCGTCTCAGAGACATGTTGGAGAAACATGCATCAGCCAATGCCGATGACGCTGAATCATGCACCATTCAGGTGAATGCTAGATTTATCTGGTTTACTGGTAGAAATCTAAGTTCGCAAAGGCACTTGGTTGAGTTTGAACTCTAATTTCATTCGCTTACCAGGTCCAAGAAGCTTGTAGGAGAGCTTCCGAGGCTGAAGAGGCAGCGAAAAGCCGCCTCCACCAGATGAACGATGATCTTCAAGTTCACTGCAGAATTCCTGTGAGTAGAAAGAACTTTAAAGAGACAAACCGAGAATCATAACCTGCTTTTTCGATCGGCGGGTTGTTTGGTAACTAAATCTAAATGCATAATTTCTTGTCCGTCTTCTTTCCAGACAGAAGGACAGGCAAGGGTTAGGTTTGCTCATTCCAATCAAGAAAGGGACACAGAAGGACACTAGAGACAACATCATCGGCATATGAAGCTGTTCCTTTCTTTATCATCCTTCGTGGACTGTTGATGTTATGCGTATTTCATGTGATCATGTTTACATCAATCTTCACAATAGCTTCTTGTTTGTAAAAACTAGAAACCAAATTAAGACATGGAACAAGAAGCATCATATGGATTCTGTTATCAAAAGGGCAAGATGCATTTATTACAGAAATACAAAACACAACAAAACTAGAATTCGTGTATAATGTATATACACGCATGCATGCATGAATTAGATTTTCCTCTTCGACTTGTGAAGCCATAGGAATTTATAAGCAAAAAAAAAATCGTCGAATTTTTTGTGAGCTGAAAATTGCCACGTCACCTTGATCTCAATCTCTCTCATTCGAACCCCACAATCATCTCTTTCTCTCTCTATCTTAACCAAATTCCACCATTGTTTGTATTCCTGTGTTGTCAGCAAGATACTGAAGAGATGGTTCTGGACCTAGTTGGCGAAATATCCCGTCTCAGAGACATGTTGGAGAAACATGCATCAGCCAATGCCGATGACGCTGAATCATGCACCATTCAGGTGAATGCTAGATTTATCTGGTTTACTGGTAGAAATCTAAGTTCGCAAAGGCACTTGGTTGAGTTTGAACTCTAATTTCATTCGCTTACCAGGTCCAAGAAGCTTGTAGGAGAGCTTCCGAGGCTGAAGAGGCAGCGAAAAGCCGCCTCCACCAGATGAACGATGATCTTCAAGTTCACTGCAGAATTCCTGTGAGTAGAAAGAACTTTAAAGAGACAAACCGAGAATCATAACCTGCTTTTTCGATCGGCGGGTTGTTTGGTAACTAAATCTAAATGCATAATTTCTTGTCCGTCTTCTTTCCAGACAGAAGGACAGGCAAGGGTTAGGTTTGCTCATTCCAATCAAGAAAGGGACACAGAAGGACACTAGAGACAACATCATCGGCATATGAAGCTGTTCCTTTCTTTATCATCCTTCGTGGACTGTTGATGTTATGCGTATTTCATGTGATCATGTTTACATCAATCTTCACAATAGCTTCTTGTTTGTAAAAACTAGAAACCAAATTAAGACATGGAACAAGAAGCATCATATGGATTCTGTTATCAAAAGGGCAAGATGCATTTATTACAGAAATACAAAACACAACAAAACTAGAATTCGTGTATAATGTATATACACGCATGCATGCATGAATTAGATTTTCCTCTTCGACTTGTGAAGCCATAGGAATTTATAAGCAAAAAAAAAATCGTCGAATTTTTTGTGAGCTGAAAATTGCCACGTCACCTTGATCTCAATCTCTCTCATTCGAACCCCACAATCATCTCTTTCTCTCTCTATCTTAACCAAATTCCACCATTGTTTGTATTCCTGTGTTGTCCCCTTCGCGGCCTTGCTCTGCCGCTGCAATGGCGGTCTTCGGCTTCTCTACGTTAGGCTCTGTACCTTTCCTCTCTCACCTCTTTGAATCTCACCCTTCGACTCCCTCCTTCCCCATCAGACTCTTCTCCTTCTCGTCGTCCGCCTCCTCCTCCTCCTCCTCTTCTTCTTCACACAGAAATCACTCCCTCTGCGTCGCCAAGTCCTTCTCTGGTTCATCTACCGCCGAGACCGATCGGGATTTTGACCAATCCTCCGTTTCCGGCTCCGATTTGGTTCTCCGGGAGCCCTCCGACGATGTCAGACAGGATTCGGTGCGTTTGCGCTGTTCGTAGTTTCGAACTCTGTGAAATAGAGTAGGTTATCTATAGAGTCCTTCAATATTATTCGCTCTGATTCCTAATGTGTAATCTGATTGATGGGTCTGAAAAGAAGTAGAGGTCTGCCGACTGGGAAACAGCGAGGGGTCACTGCAAGAGTGGGGACGTCTTCGAAGGTCGAGTCGAAAGCTTTAATGGCGGAGGCTTACTCGTTCGGTTCTATTCTCTTCTGGGTTTTGTTCCTTATCCACAATTGAGCCCTTCTCGTTCTTGTAAAGGTGGTCCATATTCTTTAAAAAAACCATTCCTTTTCTTGACATCTGCTTTGTGTTCATGTATCTTATGGATGGTTATGTAACCTGTTTTCCCACTTCATCTTCTCTGCTTCGTTTGTTTCTTCTGGAAAATGTACTGAGGATTGTGTTTTTTTGACCATTTGTCTTTCCATGAAGAGCCTCACAAAAGCATCCAAGAGATTGCCAAAAGCTTGGTAGGTTCAGTGCTTCCTGTGAAGGTAATTTTCATATGTATATATATATATATTATGTGATTATCTATGAGCAGATCATTGTTTTGTGATTGTGGAGATTTGCCACATTAGTATCTACTAATGTGGTTCCTGCTGTTATCCTGAGCTTAAATGATCTCCTTCATGTTTCCCCCCTCTTTGCTTTCTTATGTTGCTTTTGCATAAGGTTTTCAAAATCTCTCTTTTTTTCCCCATAACATCTTTATGCTTCTTTGGATTCAGAAACTATTTCACATTTGCGTTTTCCTTCAGCAATATACAGATACTGTTTTTGTGCAAAATGTCTTAACATATACCCATATATATATAGGTAGTCCAAGCTGATGAGGACAGTGGGAAGTTGATATTATCCGAGAAACTTGCATTGTTTCCAAAGTATTCGCAAAGGGTTAGTGTCGGGGATGTATTTACAGGAAGGGTAGGTTCTGTTGAGGATTATGGTGCCTTTGTCCACCTGCTCTTCGATGATGGTATTTGCTGTACTGAAATTTTGTCATTGCTGCTTTCTCTTTAAGGTTAGTAATCTAATTTGGTTCTAAACCGAGATATTGGATATCTGTTGTAGGTCTCTATCATCTAACAGGGTTAGTTCATATCTCTCAAGTGTCGTGGGATTACGTTCAAGATGTCAGGGATGTATTGCACGAGGGGGAGGAAGTTCGGGTCAAAGTCACTAACATAGACCAGTGAGTTTCTACTGCCTTTTTTTTTTCAAAACATAGATCAGTGACCATGGATTTCATCGTATTTCTCGGCTTCTAAAGGGTTTTAATCGAGACTCGGGTACAGGGAAAAATCTAGGATTACTCTTTCGATCAAACAACTAGAAGAAGATCCTCTTTTGGAAACATTGGACAAAGTGGTTTTGCAGGTAATGGGCAAAGGATTCTGGTTATGTAGTAGTAGTAGTATATTGTCATGCTTGAATCAGCTCTATTTGATGATCTTATCTTTTTCGGGTCTTATTGATTTGTGATAGATGTGAAAATATCGCAGGATGGTTCCACTGGATCTGCTTCTCTAAGCCCAAACAACGGTGATAAAATCGAACCTCTCCCAGGTCTTGAATCAATACTCGACGAATTATTGCAGGAAGACGGGTAAGAGTTGAGTAAGATTGTCGTTGCAATGTAACATAAATATCCATAACGTGAACTGCCTACAACAAATCGTTTCTGTAATGAATTCTTGCTGTATATATGGCAGGATAGTTTTATAATCTCACTATGAGCTGAGAATGAAATAACCAATGTGTTCATACAAAACATGTCTTAGTGTAAAGGGTTCTCCTTTTTAAAATTCATCAGAGTTCTTGCATATAAATGGCAACTAAATTGCAGATATACAATCCACTTGACCTACACAATATTGCAGAATAGAAGCCGTGAAGATTAACCGGCAAGGGTTCGAGAAACGTGTGGTTTCACAGGACTTACAGCTTTGGCTCTCAAACGTGAGTTGTATACACACACACACACCCCTACTTGCTTGTTCTGATACATTGGCGTAGTATAATCATTCTTTGTCTGGTCACTTCTCTTCTCATGCAGACGCCGCCTGATGATGGAAAGTTCGTCCTTCTCGCCCGTGCAGGAAGACAGGTAAATTTTCGTCGTGGCTCGGTTTTCAAATCCATTATCACGAGACCCTTTTCGTAAAACTATCCAGAAACACCTGTTCGAACTGGTGTCTCAACAGATCTTAGGAAGAAACGTAACTCGGAATCTGATTCCTTATAACCCCCTGAAGAGTTCAGAAGCTTTGGTTTTTTTCCCGTGATGGAAACCGAGTTATGAACATGGAACTCAACTCAAACGGATCTTCATGCGCATATATATATGTGTGTGTGTGCGTGTATAGGTGCAAGAGATACAATTGGAGACATGTATGGATCAGAAAGGGATAAAGAAAGCACTGCAGAGAGTATTAGAACGCGTTCCTTGAAGTTTTTAAAGAACACGCTTCTCGTTGAACCGTCGTCTCAGCCCATTCGAGTAAGCCTCTGTTCGAGAGAGAAGCTTTTGGGTCAGTGCGTGTGCTGCTTTCTTTAACAACGCCACAGCTCCTGCAAATGGACCACCACCTCTTGAGAAGGTTAAAAAAGAACATACATTTGATTTTGTCTTTACGTTGTTGTAATTTTGCAAATAATCATATGCCATTATGAACACAATTAGCACAAACATAAAATTTATATGTTACTTATTTGTCATTTTTTATTTTTAAAAAAAAATCAAACCAATGTTACCATTGAATCCTTCGTTTTTCATCATTCATCTTCTACCACCATCAATTTCAAAACCAGAAAAAAAAAGTCAAATTTTAACGGGTACAAACTAAATAATATAAATATTTCAAAAAACTCTCATAAGTCATTGGTTTCATCAAGATCTAACCTCATACAGACAACTATGGATCATTGACTTTGTAGGAAGGTGACAACAATCCCAAGACATATTTTCACACGAAACCAAAGCTTACAGCTCTAATCCAAAATTATTATTATTATTATTATACTGTGCACTTCTGAGCACATGCTCTCTCTCTCTCTCTCTCTCTCTCTCTCTCTCTCCAATCATCACAAGAGGGGTCTGTCAGATTGTAATGTCCAAATTAGATGGAAACAAAACACGTAAGATTCTTCATCTTTTGAACTGTAAATTTACTCCATTAGTTGCATCTTTCTTCTTTACTCTCCCACTTTCTTCCTCCACTCATCTCTCTCTCTCTCTTACAAGTAACCAGTAAAAGTCTGTTGTTCTTGAGTTTTTCCATTTTGATTCCTGAGCATATTTCTTCATCTGGGTCGTCTCTCTCATCTCCGTTTTCTCTCGTTTTCCTGGAGATTTTCCCACTCTTTC